TAGCTGGCTGCTATATAGTGGACGCTTTACCTGTCTTGCTGCTAGGCTTTTTTTTTTGTTATCGTTATATATCAGCTAACCTAAACAAAATCATTTGCGTTGTTGACAAGAGCTCGCTGTTTCGTGAACTGTGCAAGGTAACGACCTTTAGTCTTTGAAAATGCCGTGCAGTGTGCCTTAAATGTCTTGAAAGAAGCTTCGAAGAAAGAGAATGTTGTTTAACACGAACGGTAATGAAAACCAGCAGACGATGAAACCAAGGAAGGTGTAGGGAAAGGTAACTGTGATGTCTTAACTGTATGCATTGTAATAATTGTGATATAGATATGTGGAGACAGTAAAGCAGATGAAAAGTCAACTTTCCGCTGGCGTGAACCGCAGCTGCGACGTTCCGAAGGTCCCAGGTCTCGGTCCATACCAGCGGCAGGTTGTTTTCTCGTTGACTTTATTTTCTTCAGATCTGAGTCAGAATTACTACAATACACTTAAAACAGCACAATTATCTTTCCAAATACATATTTTGGCCTTAATTGTCTGCTGGTTTTCATTCAAGAGGCCTTCAATTCAGATGGTATTGGCTGTGAAATCTTGAATGATAACGCGACTTGATGGGATAACTTCGTCGCGGACTTGGGTCCAATTGTTGGATCATTGGTGACGACCCAATAACGTACAAGAAAAAACATACTATGGAATAGCTACACTTTCCGGCACCAGATGTCTAAGTGGTTAAAGAAGTGGTTAATAAGGACATGCAAGACGCTGCGGCGTTGACCATTATAAGAGTAGAGCACCTAGGCAAGGCGCTATACACTCACCGTACACGCGGTCGGCGTTCGGTGCTGGCTTCGAGCAAGTAGGACTTCTCTCGAGCCATAAGCGACTCCTTCTCCTCGGTGTCCAGCAATTCCGGCAGCGCTCAACAATATCCTCGCTTCGCGCATCACCGCGACTTCGCACTTGCGTTCGCCGGCATTGTTCTTCGCTCGCGACGGCGACAAGGGAGCGATCCCTGCCGGCAGCTGCGGAAACTGGAAAGGCTGCAACTTTCGAGTCGCCGGCCAAGCAGCTGTGTCGATGTGTATCCCCCCCTAGAGGTTCTGAATTAAGTCTTCGGACACTTCCTGCAGCTGCCTCATGTGTATACGTACGACTGCTTTTGCGCAATTTTGCGCGAATTACTTCGCCAGAATAAACGGGGGCGAGTTCTCAGACAGCGCTTGCGTCGTACAGGAAAACCCAATCGGTAGCCCCTTTAGCCTGCCTTGTTATACGACTTGCGCATCATCGTTTTATGGCTACCTGCGCCCCAGCTGCCGTTCCCGCACCCCTGCCTGACGTTGAGTGCGCATTCGGAGCATCGTTTATGTCCATCTATATACATCGGTACAGTGAGGGGACCGTGACTGGAGCACGCGGCAAGAGCGATTACGGAAACCTTTTCTATCGCAAGTAATCCTACGAAAGTGAACCCCGCTTGTGCACAAGAATGGACGGACGGACAAATGAACGAGACTCGGTGATTTGCGCTGTCAAGGCATGTTTTAAGAGCGTATGAGTAATAATTTTCAGGAGTGACAGTTTCTAGCTGATAGAGGTGATTTGCTATCCTTCGTAGCCTATACGCCGACGTTTATAAAACACAGAAAGATCAAGTGAATGTTTTCGAGAAAAAGAAAAGCTGAGACGTGGTGCGACATTATCAGACAAACAAACGGCGCTAAGTCAATTATTCGTTTTTTTTCAACTACCTTGTCATCTTGTCTTCAGGTGCATATGTGTTTCGGGCTATGCCCACCGAGACATGCTTTGAACACTTTCGGTATCATGCATGCATAACCTTTTTCATTATCCTTTTTTTTCATTTCCTTAAGAATTTATCAGTGTATTACTTCACGCCTTTTAGATAACTGGTATTAATGAAGCCGAACTTCCTATGTTTCTACACATAAACAAGAAATTATGGCACCGTCTCCGCCAAGGGAATCCTGATGAATGCGAAGCATCAGCGGTGCACACGGCGTTGACCTGGTTGAAACGGGTCGTTGACGCGAAGTGCTGGAAGAACGGTCTGAAGCGAAGCTCTGTGTAGTGTTTACCTAGAGTAAATATTTGTTCGAAAAGCAAAGACACGCGACGGTGATTTGGGATTCGAGTACGTTTGCATAGCAGATAAAGGCTGTTCGCTCGATGTGCGCTCGAACGTTGCTGAACGGTGGAGAGGGTGAAGTCGAGAGAGAATGACACGCGGCGAGCGGAGACAGGCTAGGGAGAGAGTGACGTCAACGCGTGCGCACTGCGAGGGAAGGCGTGACTTACTTAGCACCGCCCCAACACCTGCGGTTAGGGGAGTGCGGTGCGGACGGAGGGACTGCGTTACACAGGCTAGTCAAAGAGCTGCTTTGCATCGAAAAGTGTTTATGTTTGCATGGACAGTTCCGCCGACGAAGAAGGTGCGACAACAGCTTATGTGATATGCCATCTGTGTATAAGTGGCGCTTGCTTGTCGGCTAGGAGGCATGTTGTCAGCAACACCGGAATAAGCGGGAATTATCCGACCTACAAATTTATCATTCGCGTCTACCAAGCGCACGAAGGAGAGTGGGTATTGTGAACGGACCACTTACCTACGTTATCATATCGTGCGTGCATTTTGCAAGCAGATCACACGCAGAAATGACGTGTGCGATACTATAAGGGGCATATCTTAGTCTGCTAAACAATGGAATATTGCACTGTGGTTCGAAGCATGGTCGGGCAGTAGACAGAGGGATAGAGTTATTTGTGGAAAAGTAGCCCGTAAATATGGGAAACACTATTATGTGCTTAATATTTCCCATATACATATACGATGTATATACATGACGCTTAATATTAGTTGCAACATTATGTTGATATTCAGCGGGGCTCCAAGCCAATATTGTAAACTAGAACTACGCTCGTTAAAGTGACTATTTATTGCTGTATTTTATTTATTTGTTTGTTGCAAATGACAGTATATAGTCGAAACTGCTGTTTGCGTCACTAACTTTTTGTCTGTGGGCGCCAGTGCTAGTGCCGGCGCCACTTACACTACAGGAAGCATCACGGTTGCAATTTATACTGGGTGCAGCTCTACCTATGAAATTACTAAAAAGCAGTCATCTTGTATATCCCATCTGATTTACTGTAAGTACTATAAAAAAACAGGTACCTTAGGAAGAAATCGTAGTCTCAAACACCAGTCGTACGCAGCCCCAGACCTGCTAGTGAAAACCATTCAAAGAGGTATGGAAGCACATGTACTAATTTATTGGTTGCGCCTTCGAAAACAGTACATGGAATGCTTTCTTACGCCGTTCATGGCAGGGCGTAGTCTCAATCCGTGCTGTGGTTGCGACAATGAAAACGTCTTTATAGTACATAATGTGGCGCGATCTGTTGTCAACTATTGTGTACCTATGTTCAAATTAGCTAGGACACTTAATGGACCTCAGTTATCGTATTGTATAAGTTCGGTCTTTAGTTTTGCCGAACCCGTTACGCTACAGTTAGTTTATATCATATTTTCTTAATTTTATTGCCATGACGTGAACAGCGGTAGCCGTCGTGTTCATTGATGAATGAATTTTTTTATTTCATATTTCAACAAATGAATATCTTAACAAATGAATGAATGAATCAGTTATATTGTGCAGTACAATGCAAGATTGACGGCGTCGTGTTCATTATTTATTCGCTCATCATGCACGTTTATCGTTAATCTGGTTGCCTCTTTCGCCGATTCATTTACCGGTTCACTGAACGAACTGCTTCATTCCCCATTTTCTCGCTCCTTCACTCGATTGCTATCCTCACAACACTCGTTAACTTTCTTCCTTCTTTAACAAATCAACCCTCGTATTTCGTGTATATTCACCTAAGCCTACTCGTTTAAGATTGAGATGGACGACAGTATTGAGATGGTCGCGTGTGCAATGGCTGTGCCGTTGGTTCAACTATTGAAGATATTTTGTGTAACTTCCCCACATATGCAAACTAGAGACTCCACCTCCGTTGAGTTCTACATCAGCTGTACGAAAGCGCTTTCACTTTCAAGAAGGTGTTCGGGCCATGGGGCCGCCCATACCAGTTCCGAAAGGCTATAGGAAAGCGCTGTTGCGTTTTCTCAAGGGCACCGACCTGATCCCTGTTCAACATCCCAGCCTTTCTTCTATTCTTATTATCTCTCTTGACGAATGAACCGCCCTCCTCGTGGTCCCTAGCGCACCCCCCAGCCCTCGTTCGTCCGGCGACAATTGTGACAGGACTGTCTCACTACTGTTAAGGATGTTGATAAACTCAGGAAGATTTTGGTCAACTTAACGATATTATTGCCTATTGATTTGGTCTTAGGACGTTCCTTTCGGTTACCTTTTAATGCCTTTGCTAACAACAACAACAACAACAACAACAACAACAACAACAACAACAACAACAACAACAACAACAACAACAACAACAACAACAACAACAACAACAACAACAACAACAACAACAACAACAACAAAACAGGTCCGATGAGACTGCTGCATAGGGACATTATCCAAGTTATTGTAGGTTAAATATAATCACATCAGCTTTTTAGACATTTAAGGACGTACCGATGATTTGCATGTGTGAAATACGATTTTTTTCTGAGAAATCTTGATCCTGGGTTGTAACAAGTTTTACAATATATCGCAGCTGATTTTCATTTTGACATTCCGTTGTTGTGTTCGATACCGCTGGAAGTAACTGAAGATTGTCAATAGAACATAATGGGAGACACGTCTGGAAAGCTATAAAAAGGGGAAATTTCAGGGTAAGTCAACAAGGTGTACTTCTTGCTGAAAAAAAGGAATATTTATATCCAGAACCTGGCGACATTGTCCGAAACACTGCTTTTGTACCGTGCTTTTATACCGTACTTCTCTTGTACCGTAATATCTCTTACACGAATCACCTATCAGTGTTGGCATTCGTGTGATTGGAGCACCTACCATTATGGTTCATCTTGTCGCTTGAGAGGTCCTTCCCGCTGGTTTCTAGCTGCCTGCGATGTAGCAGCGAATCTCCGAGCCGTCGGGAAGAGCCGGTAAACCGTGCACGGTGCGGGCAAACACAGCACAGAGTTGGCCACTGGCGATTAGAGCCAAGGGAGGCGGAAGCGAGGCGCACTATGCGTGCGTGGTAGCGCTCGGTCCGTCACTTCGCTTGCACGCTGGGCACACACAGCTGCTTCTCTGGCTTAGGGCCATTGTGCTGGCACCGCCGGACTGCGAGCGCATCACGACGTAGGGGGGGTGTCGGCTTGGCTGCAGCTTATGTAAGTTGTCGCCACGTGGTGCCCTGCGCCAACAAGATAGGCAAACAAAGCAAGGTTAAACTGTGTAAAGCGACATGCTTTAGGGAAAAGTAAGTACCATCATTATAAAGAGAGATACATTCAGTGGAACCTCTTTGATACGATTCTGCACATCTTTTTCGGTCTAATACGTTTTCCTTCTAGTTCCCGGCCAACGTCACTTGGAAATAATAAGAAATGATGAGCAAAAGTGGAGCTTGGCCGACACAACTACAAATCCTGCGTTTATTTTAACTCAACCGCATTCTAACAAGCAGCGATGTGCACGTTGCAGAGCCGCCCAGACCACAACGGCGTCTGTTTTGTGACAAAAAGATATCTGCTAGGCACGGATAATGATGATGATTTGTAAGGCGAAGAAATTCGGAGTAACTCTGAATACTGTAGAAAAGAAGTGTCTTCGAGATGTTGGAAAGAAAGTGCAGTGCTGATTGACCATGTACTTCAATGTAGCTCAATAAAAGGAAGTTGATGACGGAGTATGCATATTTTCCGCCTTTCTTTAAAAAGAAAGCTTCCTTGTTTTTACGTTTTCTAAATTATATGTTTACTTTTGTTGTTCTCGTGAAAAACGTATTCACGAGATTCTACAGTCGATCAAAAGGACAGAAAGGGAGGTTCGGGTGGTACTAGTGGCTGATTCGCTTCCCTGTATAGTGGGGAAGAAACAGGGCTCCGATAGAGGACAGAGAGATAAAACAACAATGAAAAAAAATTACACCATCTCTCGCTAAAGGGAACCATGTGTGGATGTGAAGCAGCGGGAGGATGGTGAACGGCATCTACAGAAGCTCGTCTACATCACCTTAAGCAGGTGCACTGCCATTCAGAACTTCTACCTGACTAACGTTGCCGATGGCCGTCGCTTGATGCCGGTGACCGCTGCCGTAACGCTGCCAATGACTATAGAGGTTTTTAGTTTGACGTTTCTACGCTCCGCTTAGCAGCTAAGCGGAGCGGGAACGTGAGTGCGCATGCGCCCTCCGCTAAGGCCTTAAGCGGGTTACCGGAGCAGGGAATACGGTCCGCTTACGAGCAGCCTAAGCGGAGCGTGGTGCGTCGCTGCCGTTTTTGCAAGCGGAAGGGGGATAACGCGCGCGCCCTCTCTCGTGCGTGCAACAACTTTGCTCATTTCAAGATGGCTTCCTCCAGAGATGGCACGCTTTCCGCGAGTGCTGCAGCTTCGCCGTCGCCTGCCCAGCGCAAGCCGCGAAAACACAGTTTCAACGGTGAAAAATAAAAACGCCGCCACCACACACGCGTCAAAAGCGCAAACACTCAGTGAATGCTTGCAATGGATCTGGAACGGAACCTTGCTGGCTTTTGAGCGGCTACTATCAAATCAGAGCCTGCTTCTTTGTCGAAAAAATAGACGATTAATACATTGAAAGTAGATTTCTAAATACTTCATGAAAAGATAGTTTATACGTTATTGTTTTGCTTTGTATACGTGAAAAAATGTTTTTTTATTTTGTTTACCGGCGATGAAAACGACCAGAGGGCGCTGCAACTGCGAAAGGTCCGCTTCGCTGCCGGCAACGAATAACTAAAAGAGAAAAATCAGCCGCCGCTCCGCTGCGGCTTCGCGGGTGCTCCCGGAGCGGAGCGGATAACAAAAACGTCAAACTAAAAACCTCTAATAGCTCTGCTAAACAGCCGGTCCCTCAACGCACACTCCAGAGGCATCGAACGGGATTCAGTGCTAACCAAAGCAGGCGCACTCCGTCTCACGGAAACGGGGGGCGCGTTGCCATGGGGAGCGTATAGGATAAGAGAGAGAGAGAGGATGGGGACGCGCATGCGCGGTATGTGTGGTGACGCCGCACACCGGCTTGAACTCTGCCATAAGTTGCTTCGCATCTAAAAAGGGCATACATGCACACACACGCAGGACATTCCAATCAGAGCCGTTCTGATACACTGCTTGAATGAAGAAAGCGCAGCAGCGCTTATGCGGCCGTCTTCTTTAAGCTATCTTGATTGGTAAATGGAAATCACATACAATTATTATGACAGCTAAATACTATAATCATGAAGAGTAAACACCACCTGTTCATCGAAGCGTCGTTACTCCTTTTTTTTTTGCCCATCAACATTTTTTTTATTCACGTTTCCTCACTACGTCAGTTAATGGTTCAAAGAGTCCCTATTTCTAGCTTTGTCTTTAAAGGGCCCTGTAACACTTTTTCAAGCAGCCATGAAATGGATTCACTAAAAGAGCTTATTGCCTCACGAATTCACCGCTGTAAAAAGAATTTTAGAGTCCGTACACTATGAACAGAGTTACAAATATTTGTCGCACACTGCAATCTCATTCTCCTTCTGTCGCCCCGACTTAAGTGCTGGAAGCTGAGCAGGGAGAGTTGGCACGGGTAAATAAAATACGTCACGCGCGCTTCATGACCTTGAGTACTTTTTTATCTTTTTTTCTTCGAATACGTGGCGTTTTCGGTGCGATCGCGCGCACACGCGTGGACAAGTCGTGGCCTGCTGCGGTGATTGCTGTAACGAACGAGCTCGCCTTGTTCAAATCAGCTAATGGCTGATAGAACAGCTGTTACAAGTCATTTTCGGGGTACTTCCGTCATTTGTGGAGAGAAAAGAAAATAATTTTTAGCTTACTTTGAGAATTTATTGTAAGTTACAGCCTGGCGTGCTGCGCTATAATATTTGGCTCGCGTGTTCTCTCGAGCCTCTACTACCGATCGGCAACGTTTCCTGACCATGATCAAAAAGTGCTGCAGGACCCCTTTAACATTTTTATTTCCGCTTTACTTGGCGTCTACATAGGGTTTGCTGCAAGGCCAACGCTTTTTCCACCGCTGACAACGAATGGTATTGCACGGTACCTGGTGCTCAGTTGAACGTGAATGTATAACTGACATTCCGAATTTCGCATCTTCTTATTCAAACCTCTGATATCGATATCAGCGAGCTGTTTTGTATGGCGAAAATATTTCAGCGATTGAGGCAGCTGGACTAAGCGTCCTTATTTAGTATTACATCAAAGCATCCCAGTCTATAGGCGTTGTGAAGGAAAAAAACAAGCAAATAAATTACAATGACAAGGACGTCATGGAAAAATGGTAGGTGTAACTTGAGACAAGAAGAGAGCAGAGTGGATTAGGGAACAAACGGGGCTTAAGGATATAATAGTTGAAATCAAGAAGAGGAAATGGACATGGGCCGGACATGTAGTGCGTAGACAGGAGAATCACTGGTCATTAAGGGTAACTGACTGGATTCCCAGAGAAGGCAAGAGGGTTAGGGGGAGACAGAAAGTTAGGTGGGCAGATGAGATCAAGAAGTTTCCGGGTATAAATTGGCAGCAGCAAGCACAGAACCGAGTTAACTGGCGGAACATGGGAGAGGCCTTTGTCCTGCAGTGGACGTAGTCAGGCTGATGATGATGATGATGACGACAGGGACGTCTGTTCAGATGCTCGAGAGGTAAGCTTTGACGGTCAAGGTATGAATTGGCGGACGGTCAACTGCCCTGGGCAAACAAAATCGATGTAGTAGCCCTCTCGACCAAATTATCTCGAGCAACTTTCACTAGTTATCGAACACCACTCAGGTGTTTTTCTTCTCTGCGAAACAAGACAACAATAAAAAACAACTTGAGTTGAAAACACGAGAGAATGCAAAATAGGTAATGAGATCGCATACCTCCCGTGCAGTGGCGTGGGCATGAATTTATTTCGTTGGGAGGCACGTCCCGAAACCGCAGTAGGGTTGGCACATGCAAGGGTGGTGGAGTGTCATTTCGGGCTTTGAGTCCCATAGCGAAAATGAACGTGAAGGATGAGGACTGAAGAAGGAGGGGGGGGGGGTGCCCTGTTTGGCATCCCCTGATTTCGCCACGGCTGCCGTGCTAACTTGGCAGACCGCAAAGAAACAGTTGTTGATATAAAACGCGCATACTTGAAGAGCTACAGTAGTGACAACTTTTAAGTATACAAATTACGATTACACACGAGTTTCTTGTCGCGGACTAAGAAAGAGACAAACGAAGTGACGAAACATGTTCGACATGCCAGTGACATTGCAGAGAGGTCGTGTTTTCATTTAGAATCGGGACGGTCTGCAAGTTCCAGGAAGAAGTCGTCTTGTAAACGCAGATGAAACGTAGATCCCCACGCGAAGTCCTGCAGCGTGTCCTAAAACAGTTTGATTGAGACTAGCACAGCGTGACATTAGGTTTTGTTGCCGAGATTTTACCTATGCATGCCGACATCCCGTACAACCATACCACGGTATTATACCTCGGAGACAGCACCCAGCGTTTCGTGCCTGGCGTCAGTCCAAGTAGTCCAGATCATGCGTTCGAGCCTTCGTTTTCAGCTTGTTGACGACTGTACGCCCACCGTGCATATTGAACCACAGGAAAGGGTGCACAACTATAGAAACGTGAGACTAAGAGCTTATCGCATGTCCGAGGTTGGGTGCGTATTGATTTACTTTCTCAAAAGCCTCGTGGGTGACATGCGAAGAGGTGAAAACATCAACATTTCTGGTCAAATCATCGTTTCTACTGCCTTGATCACCTGGAATAAACGCGATTGAAGCCTCACCGAACAATATTGCGTCGGTACGTGCTTATTTCGAAGTGGGGAAACCCCAGATGGCCCCATGTATGCGCTAATTATCAACGCATGCGCGGAGTTCAAGGGGCGCCAAACGTCCGTGTTTGCAAACACCGGACACCATTAATGTGTGCTGCCTCTTTAAATGACTATGACTTTAAATGGCTGCTTAAAGGTCATGACCTTGACTGCTTGAATGAGAAGCAAAAGAATACACATCTTTAATTGCTTGGTGTTCCCTAAATGCAGGCTTCTGTAAGAAAGCGAAAAAACAACAGGAATTAACCTTTAATCTGTCCGGAAAACGCGTGCAAGCGAAGTTGTGCGCCGGCGTCTTTCTTTCTTTCTTTCTTTCTTTCTTTCTTTCTTTCTTTCTTTCTTTCTTTCTTTCTTTCTTT